AGTTTTAATAGACGGCTCAAAAGAAAAAAGTGGTGCGAGACTTTTGACGTGCACAGTAGATTAGTTCTTTCTTTAAAAAACCTTTTTTGGTTTTCAAGAGACTCTTATTTTTGTTTATTCAGTGTCACGGAAATGAGACATTTTTGTATATGTCGAACAAATTTGAAGCACTAAGTCAGTCAAATGTACTGCATATATTCCAGGCGAACAAAGGACGGTTAAAAAGACTAGTCATTTTTCTAGTCGTGACTATGCGTCATGTCTAGTCTTTTTCTCAAAAAGTCCTACTACATGACTAGTCCAAAATGGTTTGGAATCTTTAACCCCGTCTGGGCATCCCGTCCGAAAATAGATTTTAAATTTAAAAAAGCAGAGCGCCTGTGACGCGACATCTATTAGGTTTCAGTCTTATGTAGCGGTCTAGTTCTGACTAGTCTAAATGATAGAAATATGTGCAGAAAGTTAGATTCGTACATGCATACCTTGTGTTACTTACTCGTCGTCTACCCGATTGAGCCATATGATCTAGTGATCAACTTTTACATGTCAATACACATCTGAAGACACTAATTACTACAGTTTGACTCAGCGTTTTCTCAAGTTTTAATATTTATAGAAACTACTTGTAATAAAATCGAAAATTAGTTACATAAAGCTAAGCAAAATTAATTCAGAATTTTTTTAATTTCCTTCAACAGAATTTTTTTTTGATTATCGACATTTGGAAAACGTTATTTTCTATTGGAAAAAACAATTCAAATTTAAATCAAAATCAAAATAATAATATATATTTCAAAAAAAGATCTTGCTTTTCATCTCATGGTTTATGTTTATCTTAATTTAAAATATTTCCTATTTAAATTTGAAAATGAACTATGATTCTACCGTTTAAATCCATTTTTAAATACAAATCATTAGGTTTTATATTGAAATAAAATAATATCCTCATATCAATGCATTAAAATTAATTTTTCGAATAAAATTATTCGATTGTTATTACAATTTAAAAATTTAAAAGAACATAAATAGCCAACTCTCTTTAGATACATCGTTCTAGTCCCAATACAAACTAGTCTAAACGAATTGTCCGAATGATTAAGTCCAAGCAATAAAGACTGTTTGGAAGGATAGACTAGCCTGGACCAGAAGTGGCATTACTTTCTCAAAAACGACTAGTCATGATCAATATCGATGACTCTTCATACTAGTCCGCGTTACCTATTGAAAACAGTTTAGACTAGTCAGGTATCCAATATTGTCGGCTTGAATGTTCGAATCCACCTATCGCCTCCGTTTCTTCTAGCTTTTGCCTTCAAATTGACGCGTCTGGACAGTATGCACATACAAAATGAACTAGTCGTGACAAGATTAGAGCATGTTTTGGACTAGTCTATTTCAGATGCAAGACGTTGCTTGTGAAGGCGACTAGTCCTGACTAGCTGCAAATCATTTCAGACTAGTCCAAACGGCGGTGCAGACATTTTAGACTAGTCCAGACGAGTACTACGGACAATTTAGACTAGGCATGTCGGGCGTCACCCCTTATTTTTTGCTCGCCTGGATATATATATATATATATGTAGTTTAATCCATGTTCCGTCCATGGATACGTAAATGAAGATATAATAATGAAAGATAGAGGAGAACGAGCTAATAAAAAAAGGAGCTTTTTTTTCTTGGGGAGATTATAATCTAATTTTACCTCTAATTCTTTTGCACGGGTTATTTCGGATGGTTTGGATGGTGCACGTTATTGAGGAAAAAAGCGTTATAGAAGTCACCTATTCTTCATACTACACTCGTTTCATGCAATAACCACTATTCAGGGCATTTTGTCGATTACTTGAGGTATTTATCATGCAAAAACGTTATTTTGTCAAGAAAACAACCCAAGAAAATTGTCCGACTTACTTTTATTCGATGTTTTTGGCATCGGTCGCTTCGTGTTCATAGCCGATTCTAAAGGCTCACTATCGTTGTCATCAATTTGAACTAAGTGAACTACTTTTGAGCCATGTGATTGCTCTAAAACATCGCTCTTCACTCGAAATTGTGAACCCGTTGGTAAGATAACTTCATCTTCGCTTTCATATGCTGTGTATCCAGAAATCCTTTTTCCATTGATAGCTTCAATCAGGAAAAGTGTTGAATTTTTTGCGTTACCAAGAAAACTTTTAATAACTTGAACCGATGATGTACATGAATTCATGGTCCACCATGTCACAATTTGGTTTTTCTTGTAATGCTCACCAATGTCAAGAGGTACACCTCTCCATACCACCTCTTTTACAGTAGGTAACTTCTCCAATGCTGTATCAAATAATTTTAAAAATGGAAACCATATTTTTAATGCTTGCCGATTTTCAGATCTCAGTGCGTTATTTAAAACTCGATATAGAGTAGTATCACCCCATTCCATCGAATAAATGTAAATGGCAGCTGATTGATCCTTTGTTAGTCCATGCTCTGACGGATAACGGCAATGCTTTTTAGCTGTCTTTATATAATAAGGTAGTTGTTTGATATCAGACTGCAATGCTTCTAGTGCTTTTTCAAGTGTAACAAGTTTTTCATCTTGATAACCGACAACTGGTGGAAGTCTTGTAGATGAGGCATCTGTATCAGCAAATCGACTCATCACAAATATGGCTTATAATAAGTTGAATGTTGATGGAAGTGGGTTTGTTACAATCTGGAAATGATCGATAAAAATATTTCTGGTTTTGTTTTCTCATACATATTAAACTTGAAACTTGAATTCAATTGAAAATTCAAGTTTCAAGTTTCAACTACAAAAGGACACATCTCGAATCTCTCAATGTGGATGCCGTGAAGGGTCTTACATCGCATCTCTCAGTGTGGGTGCCGCCAAAAGACTTACACCGGGCCTCTGTCGACGCGATATATGTGAAACCTTAAAGTTGAATTGAGCTATTCAACAATTTTATGAATATTCACTGGAGGGTAAGCGCTTCTCCCCGCGTAACTGACCTTTTATGTCAGTCCCATGGCGTGGGGACGCGAAAAGCCCTCTCCCGAAGAGCCGCGGCCCATGCGCGTCTCTGTGTACTAGAGATCTGCAAAATGGTCACGGTCACGCGTGACCGCGACCGTGACCGTGACTGATTTTTGAATATCTTCGTGACCGTGGCCAACGACCAGGTTTACAAAGTACTGATAGAATTTATCGAGTTTTCACAAACTAATACAGTTCTTAAAAAAGGTTCCTAATTGTGGAAATCAACGTCCCGAGAACTTCCAGATTTTTCAGAAAAATTCGAATTTTCTGCAAGTTTTTCGTAATTTTTCCGGTTTCCGGATTTCAGATGCTTTTGTCTGAATTATGTGTGACCTGTTTAGTGATATTTATCAAGAAATGTTCATGATTCAGTATAGATTTAGTTTTTTCTTCGATTTTATAAAGATAAAGAATAACATTATTGAGAATCTGATCGAGAAAAACTCGCTTCAGCTAATAGGAATTGATCCTCAATGTCTTTCCAAATCTTCTCTCGATCTAGAAAAGACAATTGCGGATTTTGAAATCTGCATTTCAGATTATTGACTTTAACATCTGGCAATTCTGGTAGTAATCAGCAATAGGTATTGTTACTTAGCAAAACTATGTTTTATGCCAACGATTCCAAGTATCTCAAAGTCCATATACTTCTCATAGTTATGAGTCGTGACCGTGACCGTGGCCGTGACAGTGACTAAATAGCTCGTGACTGCGGCGTGACCGTGACCAAGTAACTCGTGATCAGGACGTGACCGTGACTAAAAATCATGGTCACGCAGGTCTCTACTGTGTACACAGCAATCGACGTGTGTCATGTCGGGACCATACTTGGCACATCTTTTCCAGAGTTACTTGACCACGCAACTCGTTCGCTTATAGATGCTATCCTCCCGTAATCACTCAAGCATCCCAACCGCTTCCTGTAGTGTTTCAGATAATACTTCTGGGATTCCAGTTAGTGCCTGTATCAATCCAGATGATATCTGTAGCATTCTGAATAATACCTGTAGCATCCTTGTTGATATCCGCAGCATCCCAGATAATATCTCTGGCATTTTAGAGGATAGTTGTAGCATTCTAGAGAGTATTTCAACTTGAAACGTGAAAGTTAAAAAGTCGAAAATTTCAAAACTTCCAACTTGAAACTTGAAAGTAGAAAAGGTGAGAATTTCAAAAATTAACAGGTGAAACTTCAAGCTTGAAATTTCAGTTGAATTCAAGTTTCAAGTTTTACACTACTGTGTGGGATGTGGATGTTGTTGTGAGCAGTGTCCGACACGGGTCACTTTTTTTGTGACCCGACCCGACCCGAGCTCAGAAAAATCAGACCCGACCTGGTCCGACCCGAGCATGATCTGACCCGACCCGACCCGATCCGAGCTCAAAAATTTTTTTCGTAACCCGACCCGACCCGAGGTGAGGGATAGTTTTTGGCCAATAAAAGTGAGTTTTTTTCAGACATTGACAATCTTCTCAGTAAATCGATACATATTCTATAGGTATTCGAAATAAAGAAATGATTATCTCATCTAAAATTGCTGCTTTTCTTATGTGAAGTTCGAAATTCATAAAACTTTTGTGACCCGACCCGAGCTCAAAAACGTTTTTCGTAACCCGATCCGACCCGACCCGAGCATGATGTGACGCGATCCAACCTGATCCGAGGTCAAGTATGTTTTTCGTGACCCGATCCGATCCCACCCGACCCGTGTCGAACACTGGGTTTGAGTGTGTGTGCGTGTGGAGTATGAGGTGCGGGTGTTAATATGGGATGCGGATGTGGGTGTGGTTTGGGTGCAGATGCAGGTGTTGATGTGAGTCTGGAGTGTGCTATGTACGTTCGAGTGGGTGTAGGTGTACGTGCAGGTGTGGGTGTGCGTGTGAATATGGGTGTGGTTGTCAGGTATGGGATGTGTGGCTATGCATGTTGTTGTGGGTGTGTGATTGTGAGTGTAGGTATGGGTGTAGATTAGGGTGTACGTGAATGCAGGTGTGGGTATAGATGTGCGTGGGTGCGGATGATGCTGAGATGTGGGTGTAGATTTAGGTGTGGCGGGTTGTGTGTGCGCGCGTGGGTATAGGTTTGGATATGTGGCTGGTACGGATGTAGGTATGGGTGTGCGTGTGTGCGTGTGTGTGTGTGCGGATCTGACGAGGGAGGATCACCAACTGATCAATCGCTTTTGAGTCGGAACTATGTGCATCATATAGGTCCTAATGAGCTATGAATACCCTGAAAAGAGTTCGGGTCGCTAGCTTATTATTGTCGAAATACTGCATATTTGTGGTATTTTTAATTAAGCACAATGCCGTGGTCCCTCTCAGGAACCAGAAAAACTGAGTTTCGAGTTTTGACTTGAAACTTTGCACAGAAACAGGCATGAGTGAGAGTAGTTTATTGTGAAAGTTTCAGGTCTTTTGGATGTTCCTATCCTAAAATATGGCTAAAAAGTATGTTTTTACACTGCTCGTATATCCCCGACAGGTTCTGATATTCTTATTTCAGAATAGGAACAACCAAAAGATCTGAAACTTTTACAATAAGCTACTCTCATTGAGGACTGTTTCTGTGCCAACTTTCAAGTCGAAATTGAAAACTCAGTTTTGCTTGTGTTCCTGAGGGGGACCACGGCATTCTGCTTAACAATATCGTAAAAATGCAGTATCTCGGTAGTAATAAACTAGCGGTCCAAACTCTTTTCAGGGTATTCATAGCTCATTAGGACCTATATGATGCACATAGTTCCGACTCAAAAGCGATTGATCAGTTGGTGACCCTCCCTCGTGAGTATGAGTATGCATATAGATGCGAGGATGAGTGTGTTTGTGGGATGTTGTTGTGAGTGCCATCGTGGTTTCGGGTGTGTGTAACGTGAGTGTGTGTGTGGAGTGTGGAGTAGAAGTGTGGGCGTGGGTGTGGGTTTGATTATGGGAGAGTATGGATCTTCACTTCAGTAATACCCACACTTACATCCGTACCCACACCAGGGCTGCCAAATCCAAATTTCAAAAACCAGGAGTTTTTTGCGAAAAATCAGGAGTTTACCAGGGGATTTTTACTGAAAAATCAGGAGAAAAATCAGAAGATGTTTATTGAAATCAGAAAATGAATTAGTGGCCTTCTCTCAAAGTAAACTTAAGTTTTCGTTCGTCTAATCACTCGTTATGTCCTTCTACTAAGTTACTGATGACAAAATTTCCTCTAAGTGATATATATTTTTGAAAAAACATAATTATGTGGAATTTATTTTACTACTCATTTCACAGTGGTTTATCAAAATATACCGACAAAATAGAAAATGAAGTTTAATTAGACATTAATATGTAACTAAACAAAATGGGCATACATGAACAACAATTTATTAACTATATCGTTCATGTCACTTTTGTAACATGACCATGAACGGAGGGATCACAAGTCCTGAGTATACTCGGGCCTACTCTAGGTTGGACAGCTAAAGACTTAGGTAGGCTCGTGGATGGAATAAATGAAGGCTTAGATAGCGTCTATTCGTAGATGATGGAATCACACGGCTTGCGCAGACTAAAGCCTATCTTAGGTTCAGATTCCATAGACTATGGTACGCTCAAATAATTGTTTTCTACTACGTCAAATTGATAGGTTTGTGCAGTACATAAAAAATTTGTACAGACGTCAAGATTTTTTGTCGCTATCGGCAACAAATAGTAACATTTATTGAAACAGACCTAGAAACTGTTTTTGAGAAAACTTTTAGTTTTGTGTGGATAAATGTCAAATCTTGGATCAGCCATGATTTAAAGTAAGGTTCTTTCGTTAAAAGTGACGAAGTACTGCATAAAAAACCTGAATCATATCAGCTAGTAGCTGCCAAAGACTTTCATCATTTTTAGCGACTAAGTTTACATTACCCGATCATTAGTGTTATGAGAGCAACTTTTCTCGATTATTTTTCTGTTCTCAGAAAAAATTTGCTGTTCTCGCCCGTATATCCTCTTTCTTGGAAAAAATTGTTATTTTGTCCTTGCACTCTCGTTCCCGGAAAAAATTTATTTCCGCTTCTGTAAGCAGAAGCGTAAACCAGTTCATAGATCGGCGGTGTGTGAGTCTGATTTTATTTTTTTTCTTTCGGTAGCGACTGAAAATACTCAACTTTTTTATTCTGTCGGCGAAGGCGAGTGAATTTGTTGGACGATTACTTTAAGGTTTTCTTATTTCCGAGAAATTATCGGATGAAAAAAGACAAAACAATGGTAGAGAACACACTGATAAAAAACCTAGACAGAAACATCGTTGAAGAATGATCTCAGGCGTCGAAAAATCTTCAAAACTGTTAATTTTTTTGTCCCACCGACAGCGGCGACTCAGCTCGGCGATTTACACTTCTAATTGTAAGACTTCAGGAATTCATATTCCTGTTTTATTTTTAGATTTTAAGATAACCGTGACACGACTTGAAATTAAAAATATAATTATGTTTGGAGCTACAGTAGGTTAGTTACGTAAAAATAAAACGCTGTTACATACATGTATTTGAATATGTAGGTAAATACGAGAAAAAATGCGGGAACACCAATACTTAATGGAGTTCCCATTACCATACGGAATGGAGCAAGAAAACGACGAGTATAGAAAAATA